TGAGGAAGGGATAGGACAGTTTTGGCTGTATGCAGAATAGTCACATCATCTTCGGTGGAACTACTACCTGTTCTCTTGGTTTGGAGATTAAATATGGCTTAAGGAGAGTGTATGGATCCCATATTGGCAGGCTGGAGCTGGACTTTTGGTGGTTAATTTAGGTGTCAACTTGATTGGATTAAGTAATACCTAGAAGAAATGTTGTTTGATTCCACTTATATGAAATGTCTAGAATAGGAAAGTCCCTAAGAGGTTACTGAGGATGGGGGTAAGGTGGTTATAAAGAGTTATAATTTAGGGCTGGGGATATAGCTAAGTAGCAAAGCACCTGCCTGGCAAGCGCAAGGTCCTGAGTTTGATTCCTGGTTCCCAAGAAAAAAAAGGGGGTTTATAATTTAATGACGTAGAACTTATGTTTAGGATGAATAAAAGTTCTGGAAATAATGGTACTTATTGTAAAACATTATAAATGTACTTTAATGACGTGGAATTGGATACTTAAAAGTGGTTAAAATAGTAAATGTTTTTCTTTTTTTTTTTTCTGGTTGAGACAGTTACTCATTTTGTAGTTACTCATCTCACTTTGTAGTACAGGCTGGTCTTGAACTCACTATGTAGCCCAAGCTGGCCTCAAAGTTACAGGCATCCTCCTGCCTCAGCCTCACAAGTGCTTCGATTACAGGCATGCACCACCATTTTTGTTTTTTGTGTTTTTTTGAGACAGGGTCTCTCGTGTAGCCTAGACTGGCCTTGAACTTGCAGCAATTTGGAGTCCAAATAATCCTCTATCTAATTAAAGAAATTGAATTTAATATCAGGCACTGTGGCAGGTACTTATAGCCTCAGGTATTTGGAAGTCTGGGGCAGGCAAATCACAAATTCAAGGCCATCCTGGGCAATTTAGTGAGATTGTTGTCCTAGAAAGAGCAGGGGAGGTAGCTCAGTGGTGGAGTGCTCAGCTAACATGCATGAACCCCTGTATTCAATCCCCAGTACCACAAATCAATCAGTCCATCAGTCAGCAAAGGGAAAAGTTACATGAGACAAGGTCCAGGAAAAAACAGGCATAAACGTTGAGGCACACTCTCACGCTTAAATCTCCCAGCAACAATTTGTGAGAACACGTGCAAATGATTTCCAAGAAGGAAATTCACCTGAGCTTTATTAGGGACCAGCCAGATCTGCTTGGTGTGCCCATATGACTGACTTCAGCTACTGAGATCCCAGCACCCCAGAGGAAAAAAGGTGTTTACCTTAAGTCACATTGTTAGGATAAACTTATCTGGCCAGATCGGCATGATGTAGACCAAGGCCTCCAACAGGTAATAATGCTCTAATCAGATGAAATATTCCAAGGGTTCCGAAGTCCTTTCTCTGGAGAAGGCCAAGTGCCAGTCATCAAGATAAACTTCCTTTGGGACACGCAGGGTCTCCGACCGCTGAGTTAACCCTTCCCTGCACACATCTGCTGAGAGTGCACTATGCCAGTAAACTAAAGTGACATTTTGGAACTGTAGAGACAGAGTTAGTTTAGATCCCCAGGAATCCCTGAAAACTCTGTCCCACTTTCCACTACCCAGACAACCTTCCCATCCGGCAACGTGCAGCGCAGTTGCCTCTGAGAAGGGCAGGAAGATGTGCAGCATGTTATTGCCAGTATAGCCTATTTCTTCATGGGACCCCGCCTTTGCTTTATTCAGAATTGGCTCAAGTGTAAAAGTTTGTTGAGAGCATAACCTTTTTTTTTTTTATTTATTTATTTTGGTTTTTTGGTTTTTCTCCGGTACCAGGAACCGAACTCATGACCTTGCGCTTGCCAGGCAGGCGCTTTGACGCTGAGCTAAATCCCCCAGCCCCTTTTTTTTTGGCATTCTCAGCGGAATGTATGGAAATGTGACAGACTCATGAAGGAGTATTTTCTAACACTTTATAGATTCTTATAAACATTAATAACCAGAAATAGATACAGAGAATATAAAACATGAACTAAGATTCAAGAAATTTAACTGAGAGGGCTGGGCATGGTGGCGCACGCCTGTAATCTCAGCACTCGGGAGGCTGAGGCAGGAAGATCATAGCGAGTTCGAGACCAGCCTGGGCTATAAAGTAAGCTCAAGGCCAGCCTGCACTGCATAGCAAGACCCTGTCACAAAAAGACCAAAAAAAAAAAAAAAGAAAGAAAGAAATTTAACTGAGCTGATAGACATGGTGTGGTGGCACAGATCTGTCATTCTAGTAGTTGAGAGGCTGAGGCAAGATTGCTATGAGTTTGAGACCCCCCTGGGGTACATAGTGAGCTCAAGACTGGCTGGCCTGAACAAACAGTGGGACCCTATCTCAAAAAGAAAGAAAGAAAAAGAGGGAAATTTAATTGAAAATAAAGAGATGGAGACAGGCTATAGGGACAGTTCTCTTTTTATTTATTTTGGTACTGGGGATTGGATATAGGATTTTTGCATTGAGATACATCTAGCCTTTTTTTTTTTTTTTTTTTTAATTTCAAGACAAAGTCTTGCTAAGTCACTAAGTTGCTCAGGCAGGGCTTGAATTTGAGATCGTGCCTGAGCCTTGCCAGCAGCAGTGCATGAAGGCAGATGGGAGATTTATTATTCTGCTTTTGAGAACAATTCTAACTATGGTAAGCAGGGAGAGGAATTTATTGGAAAGATGCTGGGATCTCTCTGAATGCAGTCCAGGATCACTGCTACAAAATCTGCTGGGACTGAACTGCCTTAGGGAGCCTAGCAAATCGGATCTCTTCTCTGCTTTCCTTAGACCCCATGCTGGGATTTAGCCACCAATGGCTTCCAAGTTTTATGGACTGTCATCCAGGCCTAGAGAAAGTTATAAAACTCTGACCTGAAGAATTATGAGGCTGGCCTGGTGATAATGGGTAGGGAAAGAGCTGGTACCAACACAGGACGCTCACGCTCAGCAGACATCCCAGTAGGTCTCTGATATGTAAGGTAGCTCTCTTGGCCTAAGGGGCTGGGTCTCCAGTGTAACCGTGAATTTCTTCCAAGTCATGGAATTCGATTTATATTTTGTAAACAGTAATTCGACAAGCATGATTCATCAGACGTTTTAATGAGGCTCAATCCAGTACGCCCTCTGCCGGAGGAGTAGCTCATCAGCCAAGGAGACTTAGTTATAGTGGAACCAGCTAAATAACAGATGTCGGTACAAAATCCAGTGTTCCCTCGCTGTTTCCCCTCTCTGGGGCTGAGATCAGGAGAGTAAAAAGCAACTACAGTAGGGTGACCCCCTCCAACTGTTGGCATATGAGAGACAGCATGTTTGGAAATTCTCATTTGGTGCCGCTGCCCAAGGCAAAGTGGTAGGCTTTGTTCACATTTTGTTCAGTAAAGCCTTACTGAGCACCTGCCTGCTCGGGAGGCGCGATACGCCATGGAGGCATGTCAGCGATTAAGACACACTGCTATGGTGGCCCCTTGGGAGATTTGGAGAGAGGAAGGCATGGACACAATTTGATGAGACTTTTCTTCGTATTCAATTACCTATCTTTCTGGCCAACTTGATTGGCCTCATTTTAGTTTATGAAAAGGTTGACTGAGGCCTTGTGGAACTTCCTGTGCTAATTCTGCTTTATTTTGATGAGAAGAGCGAGGAGGAAGATCCAGTTCTCAAGGATTCTCCTGCCACTAAACACCTGGAATCATTCCAAGTCCGCCAAACGAAGTACAATAAGCCAGTCCCATTTTTATGTCTTGTTGCTAGACTGTAGGTCCCCTGCTTTTCCCTAAGATCCAGTTCTCCCAAAATTTACTGTGCTAGGACTCATATCCACCTTGAACTAATGTCCCAAATACAGGGTGAAGACTTAGCTTTATCACATGTCATTTTTTTAAAAAAGATTAGGGCACTTAGATGTCTGGAATCCAGTAAACCCCTGGTACAGTACAGCTCCTCCCCCAACTAATGTAATCCAGAGCTGTTAAAACAAGTACAGGAAAAGAAAGGGTACAGCATATGGTGTGAGTGCTGCCTTATTTTGTATGAGCCTCTAAAAGGGACACTAAAAAAATAGTACCTGCTTGGAGACAGCTCACGTGTGGGAACTGAAATCTTGTCATTAAAGAGTGACTGACCAAGCTGGGCGTGGTGGCGCACACCTGTAATCCCAGCACTTGGGAAGCTGAGGCAGGAGGATGGTTGCAAGTTCGAGACCAGCCTCAGCTACAAAGTGAGCTCAAGGCCAACCTGAACAGCAGAGCAAGACCCTGTCTCAAAAAGACAAAAAAAAAAAAAAAAAAGAAAGAAAGAAAGAGTGACTGACCAGAGCCAGGTGTGGTGCACACCTAGTCCCAGTTATTTGGGTGGCTGAGGCAGGAATTCTGGTTCAAGACCACTTTGGGCATGCCATCTCAAAAAAGAAAAGACTGACCAAATGAATACTATTTATCCAGGAAACTTGAGGGCACAGGAGCTGTGAATAAGTTATCTGAAAGGCTGCCACATAGATGAAGTATTAAACATTCGAGGCCAGGTTTACAGAGAATGAAAGTACGGTACTTAGCCTGTTCGAGAGCAGCACTATGCCCAAGCGGTCTTGGGTGTGAAGTGGCCTGCAGCGTGAAGTGCCTGGCTCCCTGTCAAGGGGTATTTTCCAGCAAGCAGTAGATCACGTGGCAGGAATGCTGTAAGTGGACCAAGCCAGGTTTTTTAAGGTCGGTAGGGAGGAAGAGCCAGAGAGGGAAAGGCCTGCCCCACTATAATGGGATTTTCCTGATCGCCCGCAAGGAGACAGGTAACCCTCCTCTGCACACTCTAGAACAGTCCGCAGTCCCTTAAAACACCTGGGGGGAACTTTTAGCCCTGATATGCACACACATATTTTAGGATAGGGTAGCCTGGAAAACTTCCATCGAATGATGTCACCTCTCCTAATGGGACAACTCTAGACACACACAGTAAGGCAGCCAGTGTGCTGGGATGTACTAAAGACAGGTGTGTGGAGCAGGAGCCCTGGGTTCTAGTTCAGACTCTGCGCTCTATAACCCAGGGAGCCTCCTTCCCTTTTCTGGACCCTCCCGTGAAAGGAAAGGAACTGAAGATTCTTCCCGTTCTAAGGGGTGTTGGCCCTGTGGCTGGCCGCCCCTGGAGGAGATCTAGGGTTACAGTTCTGGCCCTTGGGGCTACACTTGTGGACCGCCAGAGACCACCTCTGGCGGAAGCACCTGCCACACTCGAGGCAGGGGAAGGGCTTCTCCCCGGTGTGCAGGAGCTGGTGCTGAGCCAGGTGGCTCCACTGGGCAAAGCGCTTGGAGCAAAGGTCGCAGGCGTAGGGCCGCTCGCCCGAGTGCACGCGCCGGTGGCTGGCCAGCAGCGAGGGGTAGGCAAAGCGGCGGCCGCAGGCCTCGCAGGCGTGCAGCTTCTCCTCGGTGTGCGTGCTGCGGTGGATGGCGAGGGAGCCGCTCCGCCGGAAGGCACGTCCGCAGTCGGGGCAGGGGTAGGGCTTCTCCCCGGTGTGCAGGAGCTGGTGCTGGAGCAGCGTGCTGCGCTGGGAGAAGCGGGCTTCGCAGTGCTCGCAGGCGTAGGGACGCTCCCCGGAGTGCACACGCCGGTGGCTGACCAGGCGGGAGGACGAAGAGAAGCGCCGCTCACAGTCCGGACAGGGGTAGGGCTTCTCCCCCGTGTGGATGCGCTGGTGGATGACCAGGGCGGTGCGCTGGCGGAAGCGGCGGCTGCACTCCAGGCAGGTGTAGGGCTTCTCGCCAGTGTGCGTGCGCTGGTGGATGGCCAGCAGGGACGGGTAGGCGAAGCGGCGCCCGCAGCTGGGGCACTGGTGGGGCTTCTCGCCCGTGTGTGTGGTCCGGTGATTGGCCAAGGAGCGGCTCCTGCGGAAACAGCGGCCGCAGTCCGGGCAGTGGTAGGGCTTCTCGCCGGTGTGGATCACCTGGTGCTGAGAAAGGTTCTTGCGCTGGGAGAAGCGCTTGCCACACTGGTCACACACGTAGGGGCACTCACCGGAGTGTGCCCGTCGATGGCTGACCAGCAGGGACGGGTAGGCGAAGCGGCGCCCGCAGTCCGGGCAGGGGTAAGGCTTTTTCAGATTCTGCGCACACTTGTGGCTCTCCAGGGCTGGGTGATCAGGAAAGGTACAGCCACAGTCGGGGCAGATGGGCCCCCCAGACGTCTGCCGGGGGATCAGCCGGGGTCTGCTGGGCCTCCGCCCTCGCTTCCCCTTTCGGGGTGGCTCCTTGGCTGGGAATGCTTCCTTCTCTCCAGTTTTCCTTCTGGTTCTGGTTTCTAGTGGGTCACAGGGAGAAATTAATTCAGCGGTTACTGACCTCCTACTCTTGCCTCACGTACAGTGTTACAGCTTATAAGAGCGGTAGACTCGGCCCCTGACCTCCACTGTTAATGCCCGACAGCTAAGTATGACACAGTATTATGGACAGGTGCAGCATATTACAGGAGCACCTAACAGGCTTAGAGAAGTCAGGGAAGATTTCTTGGAGATTGAACTGATTTTCAAAACAGAACTGGCCAGGTGGGGTCGCACAGGCCTGTCGGTATTCCCAGGTTGGGAGGCTGAGGGGCAGGAGGGCTGCAAATTCAAAGCTATCCTGGGTGATTTAGCAAGACCCTGTCTTAACATAAAAGGGGCCAGCGTATAACTCAGTGATGGAATACTTGCCTAGCAGGTGAGGCCCAAAGTTTAATTCTCAGCAATAAAAACAAACAAAAACCTGGGTGCCATGGTGCATGCTGTAACCCCAGCACTGAGGGAGGTTGAGGCAAGAGGGTTACAAGTTCAAGTCTCACCATGGCGATTTATTAAGACCCTCTATCAAAAAATCCAGTTAAAAGCCAGGCATGGTGGCACACGCCTGTAATCCCAGCACTCAGGAGGCTGAGGCAGGAGGATCATTGCAAGTTCGAGACCAGCCTGGGCTACAAAGTGAGCTCACAGCCAGCCTGAACTGCACAGGAAGACCCTGTCTCAAAAAGACAAAAAAATAAAATAAAATTTTAAAAATCCAGTTAAAAAAAGGCTGGATATGTAGCTTAGTGATAGCACAGCCTTAGGTTCCAACCCTAGTATCACACATACATACACACACATACACACCCCTGATTGCACTTAGGGCTTTTATAATAAGCTACATCCTAGCCCTCTTGTGTTTTGTTTCTGGTTTGGGTTTGGGTTTTTTTTGTTTTTTTTTGTTTTTTTGGGAGACAGGGTCTTGCTAGGTCACTAAATTGCCCAGGCTGAGTTTGAATTTGTCTCAGCCTTCCAGAGTGCTAGGATTACAGGCGTGACTATTTATTTATTTATTTAACTACCGACTGAACTCAGGGAGCACTAAGCTATAGCCTAGCCATTTTAAAATTTGTTTTGTTTTGTTTTTGTTTTTTTCCGGTACTGAGAATCAAACTCATGACCTCGCACTTACCAGGCAGATGCTGTGCTGTTGAGCTAAATCCCTAGCCCCTAAAATTATTATTATTATTAAACAGGGTCTCACTAAGTTGCCCAGGGTAGCCTAGAACTTCCGATTCTGTCTTGGCCTCACAAATAGTTGGATTACAGGTGTGTGCCACTGTACCCAGCAATTTATCTGATTCTTAAAGATGAAATTAACATAATGGGGTATTAGAAAGCCTGGGATGGCAGAGGCAGAGGAGACAGGATGAAAAGTTCCAAGACTCCATGTTCAGTGTGCATGGGCTGGAAGATCTTAAATAAAAACCAAGGCAGAAGTGGAAACAAATGAGGTATAAGACTAAGCCAATGGTTCTCAAACCTTATTATGATCAGAGTTATTTGGAGGGCTTACTGAATCAGCTTTCTGGGCCCTACTGTCAGTTTTGGATTCAGCAAGTCTAGGGTGGTATCCAAGAATCTTTCTTCCTTTTTCTTTGTTTTTTGAGACAGGGTCTCGCTCTGTAATTCAGGCTGCCCTTGAACTCACTGTGTAGCCCAGGCTGGTCTGGAAGTCGAGGCAATCTTCCTGCCTTAGCTTCCCAAGTTCTGGGATTATAGGTGTGTGTCGCCACACCCAGCACTAGAATTTATATTTCTATTAAATTCCCAAGTCATCTGCTAATGGTTTGGGACCACATTTTTACAACCACTACTGAAAGCATTTGTTAAGGATCCTGGGCCACATTTTTTGTTTTTTGTTTTGAGACAGGGTCTCACTATGTAGCCCAGGCTGGCCTC